TAAACGAAACGTTGTCGCAAAACACAGGTTCAGGACTGTTAAACAGAGCAGAAATTTAACGGGACAGTAAAAGGGAGGGGGGGGGGAACACAGCATTCTTCGACCTAAGTTGACCAGGTTTCTTTTTCTGTGCCCTCTGGCTGCTAGAGTTAACGAAAGGACAATAAAAAAGTCCAAAAATCAAGAGCCAAGAGACAACTTCTAGCCCCAGACGAAACAAAAAAAGTAATATATCACACAAGTCTTCAGATTACATACTTGAACCTATGGTATACACGCAATCTTCAGCTAATACAGTTATAGGTTTTACTGTATTACCTTTCAAGAAGTCCATAAGTACACGTTTTGAGACCTAACAACAAACGTTGCAGTGCGTGTGTAAATGGACTGGTACATGTTTTTGTAATTAACCTCATGCAGAAATACGAATAAAGATATATTCTATACTAGTTATGGGAGGGTGAAATTTATGACTATTTTACGCATTATAACCCCTCCTTTATCTATTACAGGTCGCCAAATATAAATTTTTTTCCACGGACGACACACATGACACATAAACAAAGACAACAAAGATTAACACACGATACCTAAACAAAGACAAGAAAGATTAAGTTTGTTTGTTTGCAGTTAAGCATAAAGCTGCACAATGGGTTGTCTGTGCTCTACCCATCACGGGTATCGAAACCCGATTATTAGCGTTGTAAGTTCGCAGACATACCGCTGTGCCACTAGGGGACGAAAGGTTAAGCAAAGATATAAAGGGTTAATACATAAAACTCCAGCAGTCAGTTACAATAACCAAAATGATATATAACTTAAAATAAATAAATAGATATACAAAAGTTAAACACAGAATGAACATACAATAAATTACAATAACATACAATACAAAAATCAAATTACAACCCCCCAAAAAACATACGATTAAAATATCAATGCAGACTAGAAATTACAACAAACTAAGGTTAAGTCATAAAATAATTTAAAAAAGAAAATTACAAAAATGTAACCAAAACCACCCATTTGTGACAAAATTAAACATTAAACATATCATCTGACTGAGGCCCCGGCATGGCCAGATGGTTAGGGCACTCGACTCGTGATCTGAGGATCGCGGGTTCGAATCCCCGTCCCACCAAACATGCTCGCCCTTTCAGCCGTGGGGGTGTTATAACGTGACGGTCAATCCCACTATTCGTTGGTAAAAGAGTAGCCCAATAGTTGGCGGTGGGTAGTGATGACTAGCTGCCTTCCCTCTAGTCTTACACTGCTAAATTAGGGACGGCTAGCGCAGATAGCCCTCGTGTAGCTTTGCGCGAAATTCAAAACAAACAAACAGTCATCTGACTGCCATCAGTTCCATACTCCACATGCTAAAGGGGCCATAGGCACCCCAAAATTTACCAACTATCGTGTTCAACATGCTGGTGATCTATACATCTTAATGGTAAAGTCATCCTCCCAAATTTCTGTCTGGCCCACCTCATCCCCCCCCCCAACCTGGAAAAGGTTAGCACCAGACCTGTTGAAAAGCGCGCTATAGTCAAACCTGCAGTTGGCACCCAATGAGTTAGGATTAACTCAACTGACGTCACATTTCAACCAACATTCAGCACAAAACTTAACCTGAGTGCTTGCAATATAATAATAGAAAAATCCTTTTAGTTAATTTGCCAGAATCCACAGTAATCATTAAAAGTTGAATCCAAGCGTTAGCGAGCATACTTTACAGTCTGTACTGTTTTTCACCCAAACCATCAGGTTGCGAATGATATATTGTTGTTTATTTGTTTGTTACAAAAACTACTCGAGGGCTATCTATACTAGCTGTCCCTAATTTAGAAATAACCCACTAGAGGGAAGGCAGTTAGTCAACACCATTCACTCACTGTCAACTCTTGGATACTCTTTTACCAATGGAAAGTGCAACTGACCATTATATTATAATGCCCCCTCTACCAGTGTCTAGCTTTTCACCAATTGCTGGAATGAAATTCTTACTAACTGGCCGAAATGGTGGCTTTACAGCCTGGTAGAAAGCAAGGTCGATTAAGGTTCTATTTATTATTGTGTCAACCTACCACCCATATATCATTAGCAGTATGTACCATGGTTCTCCAGATCAGCTTACATTACTGACCACTGCACCTGCCATGTTAGTCATCAGGTCCAACTTATGCCACACTAGTTTAAACTAGTAATTACTGCTGTAGTCATTGCCTATCATCAACTTTCCTTATTTTCTGCAGCATTGGCAAGCAGTAATCAGACATGCCAAAACTGAAGCAGGTGCTCTCACCCATGTAACTTTTGTAAGTACAACTCTAGCTACACTAGTGGTGTTTTCATAGTGCCTGGATTATGGAAATCCTGCTGACCCATTTTGTTGTACCACGTTTCCTTGTGGTGTTTGCTGCAGTGAAGCTTGTGCAGTAATGGGTCGATGTATCTTTGGTGTTTTGGTAGCTTATACAGGTTCTGGAGACTGTTTTGGAGCAGGGTCCGCAGCTGCAGTTGACATTACAGTTTGCTTCCTCCTGTGCTCTAACCTGTGGCTTGATGTAGCTACTTTAAACCATATCACCACTGAGACTGTTTACATGAGTGATGAAACATTCCTCAATCCTAAGTGGCATCATGCTGTACTTCCTCATCACATCTGTCCATAGTATCCTAGGTCACTGAACTGTCTTGAACCCGAAGATCCAAAGACGTTTGTATTCTCAAAAATGTGACATCTTCAGGTTAAGGTCATAGTGAGAAGACCTGGTGTGCACTTGCAGTCATTGCCAAATAGATGATATATCTTGAGATTCCACACTTGTTCATCACATCCTATAAAGACCTCAGCTACCAGATGCGGTTTCAGAATATCATAAGTGTGCCTCGTGGTCTGGAAGGCTCCATAATAACTCCTACTCTCGCTGTATCTTGGTGCTTTTTGACTTTACGCGGCATCTTGAAACACAGGGACTTGTCCACAAGAGCTTTTGAGTTCCATTGAGACAACACTATTAAGTCTTGAGGCGTTCTGTCCACTCACTGATATGTGGACACAAGTTGCTCCCACGATATATCCATTCAACCATAACATACCTCATCGAATGGAGATTGAATTGTATATTCGTGTTCTTCTGTCTATAGATTTCCAAGTGATTAGACTGTCCAAACAGCACTGCGAAAAATCATATTCACAGACTACATACTTTATGGAAAATCTGTAGTGAGGAAGGGTGCGATTTGGACATGACAGCCTTAAGATGGAGTATTCTGTAGGACAGACTATGATTTATGGATATTGACAAGATGTAAGGTGAACAGACAGAGCAGAATCGATCATGGAGACATGGACTGTAACAAAGTGGTAAAGCTCCAGAATTATTGTAGTAATACATACTCAACCTCTGCACACTAGTTGTGGGAGGAAGGAATTCATGACTATTTCTGTCATTACAAGTGCTACATGTAAAGAAAGAAGAATTCAAATTTGCAATAGGAAATAAGAACGCCAGTAAAAAACACGTATTACAATAGATCCCAAACTATTTCTACAAACCATGGTAACGATAATACTGTAAAAATAATGTTACTTATATGGTGAAGAAGGAGAAACTGAATCTGAAATGTTTTGCAGTTGGTTGACTTAAGTGAATCTAGGTTATGAATAATACATAATGTACTGTATTAGTTGGTAATAATATTTAATGTAGGCTGTTCTTTCCGACTTTCTTAATTTCAATGACTTCTTATACGTATTTGTTGGAATAATCTATAATACTATTTTACAAGTTAACACTTATACTTATGTGATAATGTTTCCAATGAGTGATGATTTGATAACTATACTCTGCTAATTGTGCAGTAAGTTTAGTTAGAGTTACCAGTCGTAGACAAGAAATATTTAAGAAGCTTTATTTTAGTATCTGATGAACATACACAAAGGTTTTCAAACATATGAAAAAGGTGATATTTTTAAGAATATCCTAGAACCTCTTTGAAGGAACTTACATCTTTAAAAAC